GGATTGAACCGCGGTCCCTGATGCTTTTGCTAAGCTTGTTCTAAGTAGGTGCTTTAGACCACTGAGCCATCTCTCCAGCCCTATTAAATCCTTTAGTACAATCCACTAACAACTCTAATGGCATCTATACCAATAGCTTAAAGACAAAGCTTAGGAGGAAATCTGCCCAGGAAGAAGTGGTTCCTGGGATGTTGCTGTTCATGGAACTGGATTAACTCATGGTGGTCCAAGGTGGAGAAAATAATATGGAGATACAATTTCTGCCTTGTGTTTTTCTCCTCGTCACCAGACCTCAGATGTAGAGCCCAGGGTGACAGTGGTGGCGAACTTCTCCAGGGACATGGAGCAGGCACTGGTGACAGCAGCTGGGGCATCAGAGTGTCCACCTGAGTCTGATACCATATCATGCTGAAACGCACAGATTGGGATTTTCCTCTTCACTCAGCCCTGGACTTTGCATGCATATCTAGGATGTTGGCTTTGATTGTTATCTTCCTTCTGCTGCAGCTTCTTGCCTTAATGTATACTTTGGAACGTGAAGCCTGCCTTCACCAAAGGAACACCAGTGTGCACAAGGATGGAGATGTGGTGATTGGGTTTTTTCTGTCTCTTTATTTTTTTGTCTACTATACAGGTATCCTTGATATAAAGCCGAGTAGAGAATCCTACTTCATTCAGTAAGGTTTTTTTTTGTTTTTGTTTTTGTTTCTTTTTTGGTAGAACCGGGAATTGAACTCAGACCCTTGCGCTTGCCAGGGAAGCACTTATTACACTGAGCTATCTCCCCAGCCCCAGTAAGTGTTTTTTTATTTGTCTGATTTCGTCAGGACATCAGGATCGAGAATGGCTAGAGAGCCATGCATTGATGTGTGAATATTTTCTACATGGCCATCTGTCCTGCCCACCCATGTGTGCACAACAGGCCTGCCTATAAATTTTCCTTGTAGTGTCTTTGTGCTTGTGAATGTGTGAAGAGAAGTTTCTTTTTATGTTTCTAGCTTCTTGTTAACACTCTTGTAACCCAAGAGGAAACCCTCTCTCTGCTGCTGAGTTCCATGGTGCTCTGTGTCCTTCCTCTGACCTCTATGCCTCTACATGGCATCAGGTGATGTTTTGCATCTCAGTTCAACCCCTAAGATTGGAATGAATATCATCGAATAGAATGAAGGGCTTGTTGATGTTTTCATTTTTCTAACTATAAAATTCCTTACATTCTTACAGATGGACTCTTTTTGTGTATAAGATGGCATTACGCAGCTCAAACCTGCAGTGATCCTCCTGATTTGTGCCTCCCTATTGCTAGGTTTACAGGGGTGCACCACCACGCCCAGACTCCATCCCCAACTCAGCTGCCCAGAGGTGGGGCCGGCCCTGCACTTAAGGCATTTAGTCCACTGAGCTATATCTCAGGTCCTCAGATTGTTTTCTATTTCTACCTCTTCTGCTTAGAATAACTTCTTCCTGTAAATATTCAGTTACCGTTTCAAGTACTTTAGGGTGCTCCAGGACACCAACCACTGCAGTCGGAGGTCAGAATCAGGAATGAATCTTCTGTGAGGCTTTCCTCACACACGTGATTCTTCCTGTTATAAGTGTTTATATTTTCTCTATTCAGATACAGTCATATAAGCTCACATACCCAAACATATAACTAAATAATCAATTTTCCAAAGGGTCAGAGAATCCTAGACTATGACCGATTTTGTGAGGAAAAGAGATGTCAGAGGAACAGTGACTGACTGAGTCTTTCAGAAGATGCTGACCCACAATGGTCCTGTGGCAGCTGCCCTAAGGAAAGGTTAAAACTACATACAGAAAGACCTTCCTTGGCCATAACACAGTTCCATGGCCTTGTTCTGAATATTACACATTAGGATTTTGGCGG